CAAATAAAAGGTGAGAAAATTAACTAAGGTTCTGTATCAGAATTCATGTTTAGAAATGAGCACCCTGATGATAGCTGCATCTTATAAAGTAAGTCTGGTGTAATTATCAGGGGCAGAATGTCAAAGCTAGCTTTTTTGTTTAGGGGCTGAAAATCAAATATCTTTTAATACATAAGCTTTCTGGGTATGTTTGTTGTAGAAACATGAAGGTGAAAGACCCCCAATATGGGGAGACTCTCACTCAAGTCTCGGGGTAACGCTACCCCCCCCAGTAACTCAGGAGAGACCATCCTTGCTGCAATCACATGAGGTTTAATTGATGGGAAGATGGGAACCAGTGCCCTGGGGCCGAGAGTCATAACCCACGCAGGGGAAGAGTTCGACCCCGAGTAGCTGAGAGAAGGGGTTTTTAAGGGAAGAAACCACAGCCCAGGAATCCGAAAGGGGTGGATAGGACATCATAGAAAATTCCAAAAATATCAATGATAATCACAAGGGGGCAGCTCCCTGTTTCTCAAGATTATTCTCACGATTACAATTTAACTTTATCTTCAGCTAGTTCCTGAAACTGAACCGGCTAATCCTAGATTTCTGATTCTTCCCTCTCTGCTTAGATTTTTGGCTCTATTTTTTCCTGTTAGGGGAATCTGGATTTATCCAGGTCTTTCAAAGGGATTATAAGAAAGGCCATGGACTAACTCCAACCTTGGAGCCTTTGCTTGGCCCTGCCTATCTTGACAGAAATAAATAGTGTTGGAGTTTTGCCTTTTATTTAGTTCAGGTTACCGAAGAAGGAGAGACAAGAGTCAGACTTCTTGGGCTGTGGACACCATGGATTGCAAACATTCAGTGAAGCTGAATGATGGAAACTTGATGCCAGTGCTTGGATTTGGCACGTTTGCTCCAAATGAAGTAAGTGGGCCTCTTGGGAACTAAAGCATTAGATATCAGCTATCCTGGAGGTATATTCAGAAGGCAGGAGACCTGTACCTGGTGAATGATTCACCTGGGCTTCCCTTTCCCTGTTTACAATTTACTTCTGTTCATGTTTGAGGATGAGTATTGGTACTTGGTGAGATACCAAGATGTTAGGTCTGTAGATTTGGAGGTTAAGGATTTTGTAGGCAGATTATGTCATTATTGTTATTAACATTGTTTCCTGACAAATCTCAATGCTTACTATATATTTAAGTACTTACATCTGTAAGTATAATGAATCCTTGATATAAGTATTCTTAGGAATTTTTAAGTTTTTATCAGCTAAAGCTCAGGTTTCTTCTGCATTCTAGTCTTGGTTAGAAATCCCTGTGGGCAATGGATACAAGAGAAAATGGCTAACAGTAGGCACATTGGACTGCAGCTTTGGTATGAGTTTTTTGGAAGAAGATGTATTTGTTAAAGAATATCAACTATTTGAACAGGTTTTAAAATTTCATACAGGTACACAACATGTTTCGATCTTATCCACTACTCATTCCATATTTTCAACTACTCTCAGACTCTCACTTCTCTTTCCCAACTTCATTTCTTTTCCCAACTTCCTCTTCCTCTTCTTCTTCTCATTCTCCTTCTCCTCCTTCTTTCTTTCTCTTTAAATAACCCACTAAAATCATTAATACTGACTATATGCACTTGAATATATGAGGTCATCCACATGAACATGGCCAGCCTAGTTATGGTCACATGTCTGAAGTGAATGGATTTTCTATTTCCCAAAAGTCATTAACTTTCAGTAGCAGTTTTTCAGAGTGTGTGTGTGTGGAGGGGGGGTAGGGAGACAAGGTCTTGTCAACCCATTTTCAGTCCACATTACAGTGTTGACTGGATTGATATTGTGCAGGGTTTCTGCAGACAATGACAGCTGCTATCAGCTCATGAATACAAGCAGTTCCATTCCATACAGAAGATACTGTTGTGCAGCAATTTTCTTATTTCATGATCTCTGTTTCTTACACTCTTTCTTCCTCCTCTTCCTTGTCATTCCCTTAGCCTCTTGAGAAAGGCTATTCATTCTTGAGCTATAGAATTCCCATTTATTCCTTAGCCCTTCATGAACACCTGTTCTCTGGTCACAAACAGTTGTGGGTCCTGGTATTAGTCATTGTCTATGGCAAAAAAAAAAATCTTCTTTGATGAAGACCGAGAAATGCACTAATCTATGAGCATAAAGATAAACATTTACAATATAAGTCCAACTTTTAAAAAATGTCTCTGAGAATCCACAATAATTCCATTGATAAGTTAGTGTTGAAGACTTGCAAAATATAAAGTAACAAGGGGAGTGGGATCGCACTTCTTACCAAACTCATTATGTACCCATCCAATAAGTCACTGTAGTGAATTGAAAGTGTCTAATGCTAGTCACAGGTAATAGAAGCATTGGGTGGCTTGGGAAGGAGTGTCTCCAAATGACAGGGATCAGTATATTCAATGTTGGTGGAAGAATGACAAGGTATTAGTATTGAACAGAAACAGTTTGTTTTAACTGACATTTGTTACTGTAGTTAAAGACAGCATTGTGTCTTAGGAAACAAAACAAAATCATTCTTTTCATAATGTTTTCACTTGTAAAAGTAAATGTAATACATGCCATTGAGAAATAGAAATGAACAAACAGAAGCTTCTTTTACAAACTAGTACAATTTTTTTTTTCTGAATGTGATTCTTACTCAATAAATGACCTCCCTATGGGGTCACTGCTGGAACAAAAGCCTGTTCCATTGTACGCTTTGTGATTTTGTTTATCTAGCTAAGTATTCTGGGGGCAACACAAACACAGGATATCTGATTAAATCATTAAATTATACACTGATTGAAATTTGAGGAAATTTTATAAATATTATTATCCTGACTTTGGCGCCCGACAGCAGCTTACTAAGGTGTGGTCCTTTTCCTGGTAGCAATAACTGGTCAGAAGAGTAGTTAGCTCTCTGGGCATCTGCTACATCTAGATACTCTCACTGTGGATTTCTGGATATGAACTTAGCATCCTACCCTTCAATCTCCCTAGTTCTGATGCAGACCAAGGGACAGACTCATGTAAGCTTCCTGCATGCAACATTAGTGGATCAATTTTTTTCAGTAAGAATAAGCATTAAAATCAATAAACTAGTATTTAAACTAGAAAGGACTAACACACATTTTACTTGTCTGGAGTATCATCTATGATGGCTATACTTCTGGTTATGAATGAGTGATTTATTAAATATATGGAAGAAAAGTGAAAGTAGAAATTATGAGGGGCAAACAGAGAAATGCAGAAGATATATATAGCAAAACAATAAATCAGGTGCTGAAAAACCCCATTGAAGTAACCAGACGGAATTTTCCAGTTAAATGTACATCCTGGGCAGAGTGAAGTATCTTCTTGGGTGAGGGTTCCAAGTAACTGAAAAAAATAGCATCAGAAAGAGTTGACATCATCAAATTTGGATGCTCACTGCATCCAGCAAGAACTAACTGGGAAAATTGAGGCAGTAAATTGGAGTTCCATATTTAGCTCTCTCCCCCTATGAATGAGCTTCCTGTGGGACAACCTTCTTCTTCTTCTTCTTCTTCTTCTTCTTCTTCTTCTTCTTCTTCTCATCCTCCTCCTCCTTCCCCCCTCCTCCTCTTCCTTCTCTTCCTCCTTTTTCTCATCCTCCTTCTCCTCCTTCACCATCTCCTTCTGCTGTTTCTGCTGCCTCTCCTCCTCTTCCCCTTCCTCATGCTGTAGCCTTCTCATATCACAAGATAAATAACAATCACCTCTGTTGGGAATGATTAATATTCTGTTTTTAAGGCATGTTTTCAATACTGTTAGCTGATTGAGAATTTATTTTCCCTGGTACAAAGCCAGAGGGTCAACCTGACCCAGAGCAGAGAGTTTTCGAGGAAAACTGACATAAACATGCTTGGGTCTGAAGTTAGTGGAGAGGAAAATCTGCTTCCAGAGTCAGCTTCTCAATGAGATTTAGCAGCCTATGACAATTCACCAACATTGTATACAATATATATTTATGCATATGCATATTAAAGCAATCCTGGTAAATTCTGTCACTCTTACTTGATAACTAACCAGTTTAGTGTTCATGATCAAGCTTCTAATTGTCTTTAAAGTTCATCCTGGGAATTATAGGAATCTGAAAATGCTATACATCCATTTCTGTGTGACTTTCACAACAAAATAGAAGTATTTGAAGCATAGTTGAAAAGCTGTTAAGATGAGAGTAATGAGGAGGAGGATGATAATAATGTTGATTAAAACAAGGTCTCATGGAGTTTGTGCTGACTTATTATGTAGATAAGGATGAATTTGACCTTCTGAATTTCCTGCCTCTCCATCTCCCAAGTGCTAGGATTGTAGGTGTGAGCTATCTCATCCACTTCTCATACTTTCTTTTGTAAAGACTGTCTCCTTCACTTCTTCCAGAAACCTCATGGAGGAAGGGAAGCCAGTTTGTTCATGGAAAAATGCCTAGTACTCCAGAGCCTAACATAGTGTTGGGCTAGAAGGCAGCACTCAGTAAAATGCTTACTGCATAAATGCTGAATGCAGAGACCTACAAAATGAAGGGAACAAAAGAATCTTGAGTAAACTGAAGAATTATTTGGGCATAATTGAGAGCAATGGGAAATAGGAACTAATTTTCATTCATCACTTCACAAATATCTATATATATGCACACCTGTCCAATATATTGAGTGCCTTAGAATTTTTCTCCCTGTATGCTGCTTTCCTGCTAGCTAGTTTCTTCCAACTAATCTTTATTGAATGAAACTTGCATTGACATGCTTTATAAGAATTCCACATCACTAATTTATTCAGTCAAGATTTAGAAGTTAATCCTTCTGTAGTCTGTGTCTCCAGATAGATTGTAAATCTATTATCAAGGTTGTATCATCAAACAAGGTGAGCCATAGGGCTGGCTGCAACTCACAAAAAAATGTGATGAATATATAAACGACTTTTATTTCCTGAATTTGTAACACCTCCAACTTTTCCTACTCTTGTCTTATAGATTCAAAAGAGCAAGGCAAATGAGGCCACCAAAATAGCCATTGATGTAGGTTTCCGTCACATAGATGCTGCATACTTCTACCAAAATGAGGAAGAAGTTGGACCAGCTCTCCAAGACAAGATGGCTGATGGAACTGTGAAGAGAGAGGATTTATTCTACACCACCAAGGTGAGCACTTGTGGCCAGAATGGCTGAAAGCCACTGTCAACTGAAATATGTTAATAAGGAAGAAGACACCACCCCCTTGGTCTCAGATTGAATCATAGCTTTATTGCAAAGACACATTATAGAAACATAGAGAATAGGACCAACAAGATGACTCAGTGGAAAAAGATACAGTCTGTCATGGCTCTTAACCTCTTATCCCTGGCAAGTACATGGTAGAAAAGAAATGATTCCTGATATGCTGTTATCCTATTTCTACATGTGTGGTATCCATCTACATGCTCGCTCTCTCTCTCTCTCTCTCTCTTTCTCTCTCTCTCTCTCTCTCTCTAACATACAAGCACACACACACACAAAACTATAAATAAAAAATTAAAAAATAAAGTTCTTGTTTTGGCCCTAAAGTATCGTAAATGTGGGATACAGATACTCAGTATCTCTGAATATCAGACATTGTCTATATATGAAGTAAGGACACAGTTCTGTTGGATAATCTGACCTCTCTGGGCCACAAGAAAATAATTCTTCAGTAGATTCTCAAGTTAGGTTGAGAATATTGTTTACAAAAGGGAAAATCCTCTTCTGAAATCTCTACTGGATGGACTGATGTTTGTAACGTTTCCTCAGGTGGGAAGGCAGTCTTCCAGTGTGATTCCATCTGAGCTGAGGTCTCTACAGATGTCTCCTACTTACGTTTACATTGATGACAGCTTGTTTTTAGATGGGATCTCCTAGAATTGGTTCTGGATAGGCTAAGAACAGTAAATTCTCTGTCAACTTTACTGCTGTTTGTTCAGTTACTTGGAAGCGTCACCAGGAGGATACATCACTCTGCCCTGGATGGACTTTTAACTGGGAAATTTCATCTGGCTACCTAAATAGGGCTTTCTACTAAGATGTTTCTCAGCCCCCTGATTTATTGTTTTGCTATATAGCTTCTATATCTTCTCTCTATTTGTCCCACATCCAACTCACCATTTATTGACTCTTTTGAGACCAAAACTTCTAGTTCTTAAAACACTGAAATTGATTGTTTCCTAAATTCTGCTCATTCTCCTGACATTGTCATCATTCAAGTAAATCTCAGTATTCTATTGAGGATGTGATCTATGATAAATAACATAAATTAGAGTAGTGTTCTGCAGAGTTTCTGGGAAAAGTTGGGTGAGGCAAAAATCATGATACAAATTGTATAAAAAAATTTTAATAAAAAAACATAAAAACTTAGCCCAAGATGCTCTTAGCTTAGCTGAGACCACCAGAACACATCTCAATCATTTCACCACAATGTGTAATTCTGTTTGGAAACTGTAGATTTGGTCGACTTTCCTTAGACCAGAGTTGGTTCATCAGTGCCTGGAGAGATCACTGAAGAAACTTGGGCTGGATTATGTAGATCTCTGCCTTATTCATGCACCAATTGCTATGAAGGTAAGTTTCATATTTTTATTCCCTAGATATGTTATTTCAGACCAATGAGATTTTTTTTCTGGGTTTTTACTGTGCATGATACATCAATCTGAGATGAACAGAATGGATAAGTGATTAAGATACTGCATGACAGCTGAGAGAGGACACAGGCAAGATTTCTTAAAATGCCCATCCTCCAGTCTTCAGGAAGGTTGAAGTTCAATGACTTAACTCCCTTCTATCATCAGCATGACCTGGTTGTGGAGTCTTCTGGAACTCCAGAGGGAGTCTCCATCTCCTCATGGCATGTTCTTGCCTATGTCTATCTCTCACTTTAGGACACAGGACTATATTTGGTTAACCAACATCTGGGCATCTTTGGGTCTCATGGCTTCATTTTTTTTTAGTATGGTACATGTTTGCTGATCACATCGGATAAACTCATTGACTCAGAATTGAGTCATCATAAAGTAGAACAGAAGCTCATGATCAATAGCAAAAGTCCCATCCTTTACACTATTCTGTCATTGGGATATGGAAATTCCAATGGGAAGAGCCCTCATAGTTGGTGAGATTCAGTGCTTCATGAGGGTCCCAAGGAAGAAAAGTGTTGGCAATCAAGGGTAAAATATTCTGGGATAATCTATTAGATAATTTCACTTTTTTCTCCATAGTCTCACCTTAAAGACATATGTACACACATGTATGTGCACACACTCTCACACACAGAGTGAATGTTGGATGAGGAAGCTCATTTGTCACTAGAAATTGACTATTAGAGAAAGTTTTGTTAACTTTGCTTTTCTCTCTGCATTCTAGCCTGGAGATGAACTCCTGCCAAAGGATGCCAGTGGAAAAATTATTTTAGATGTAGTGGACATTTGTGATACATGGGAGGTATGCACCGCTGTAGGCAATAAGCACTGTGTGACAAGAGAGGTAGCAATTAATACAGAATTAGAAAAGATGGATTTTGTTTCATTAACTGACAAGTCTAAGGCATATCATAATGCCTAGTCCTATAGTACCTTACTATTCTGTGTTCAGTTGATATCTCTGGGAGGCCTGCTCATTCCTGTATGGCAACAGATGAGGAGTTGATAAGGGTGAGAGAGGAGGCAAGGAGGAGGTATGGGAGGAGGGGGGGAAATGTGCCTGGGATATAATACATGAGAAAAGAAAAAAAATACAACAGCAACAACCACTGCCATCCCTTCTCTGTCTTTCTGTAATCTCATCTGTAGAGGAAGAGTTGAGAGGGGCTGAGTTTAATTTTTAATCTCAGCTATGATTTGAGATAGACATTTCTTTGCCTCCTAGATTCCATTAACAATATAAGCCATATAAAGGGTATTAACTGAAAGAGACTCAAGAAAGGTTACAATACTATTCTGGGACAGATAAACATGCCTTTGGAGAAGTGTAATCTGCCTTAGCACAGAGCAGGCTGTGATAGAAAATGAATCTTGCCACTATATACTCTATCCTGTATACAGTTTTTCAACATTAAAGAGAAAAAGTAACAATACATTGTACCTAGCATAAGATCCTAGAATTCTTTGTCTTTGACTATGATGGTATTTATTGAAGAACCATTATAATGCTGGCATTAAAACAAATGACACTGAAGATGGCGGGGAAGGTAAGGGGAGACTTATATGTTCTTGCTGTTCTCAATGTGCATGTAATTGAATGAGCAGACAAATATGTATTCCCTGAAGGTGAGTGCCTTAGGTAAGGCTGTATTCAAGTGTCAAACTTGTTTTGAAATTGTAACCAAAATTATGTAAGTAAATGAAGTTATGATGTAAACAACTGAAATTATTATGTAAGTGTACTAATAAGCACAAGGAGAATCTCCAAAGGGCAGAGTACAAACAGGACTAACTACATACTTTCTTCCTCTCAGGCACTGGAGAAGTGTAAAGACTTAGGTTTAACCAAGTCCATCGGGGTGTCCAATTTCAACCACAAACAGCTGGAATTGATTCTGAACAAACCAGGGCTAAAGTACAAGCCCGTTTGCAATCAGGTGAGCTCTAGTTCACCTGGGCCGTGCCTTACCTTCTGTTCTTCACAAACTTCTTCCTTACATGATACTCCCCAAATCTCTGTTTCAAACCAGCTATTTAGGTTCTAGCTATGTTCCCTGAAACAGGAAATATCCATGATGGCTCAGGTTGGCTAGAGTGGGAAGAACAAGACAGGGGAAAGGCAGTTTGATTGACTGAAATCACAACTCTTAGATGGAATACCATTCATTGCTCAGTAACACTCACAATGTGTGCTGTACTGAAAATCATATAAAATCTAAAAAAAACTTGATTGAAATGAAGCATAGCAAAATTATCTTGCTGCTGTATTGTACTCGTGACACCCTAGATAATTTGTGGTGGTTTCTTTCCTAAATTTAGAATGAAAAAAATTTTAATAACTTTCAAAGACTTTTAACCTTTGCAGAATTTAGAACTACAAATGCACTGAGAATTGTGTTTGAACAACTTCCTTCACGTACGCCCATCAACACGCTCAAGCAATAATTTCTCTTCTCTACAAATTTGTCATATACATACTATTTGAAGTTTTGAGGCAGGCATCATATAGTTTTAGCCCATATTTTAAAAATACATATTTTAAAATATTTAACAATACTTGAACACTGTTAAACACCTACACTTTCGACAAAGATCGGTATCACTAAAAATCTTGAGTGTCAAAGTATGACCACGTCTTTTTATTTTCATAGTACTTGGGAGTGAACCAGAGGCCTCACACACAGTAGGCAAATGCTCTAACACTCAGTTTTAGCTAGTGGTCTTTAATAAATAATTTTGAGGTAGACTCTCACTGAATGATCTAGTTGACCTTGAAATTTTAATCTTGCTGCCTTACTCTCCCTAGTAGCTAAGTGTTTGTCACTATACCCTGCTACACATTGTTTTATTTTGTATTTATTTATTATTTGTTTTAAGACAGGTTTTTTTATTCTTTTTATTGAGCTTTATTTTTCTCTGCTCCCCTCTCTTCTTTCCCACTCCCTCTTCAGACCTCTCCCATAATTTCCACACTCCCAATTTACTCAGGAGGTCTTGTCTTTTTCTACTTTCTATGCAGATTACATCCATGTATGTTTTTCTTTCAGTCCTCATTGTGGTCTAGGTTTTCTGAGGTTGTGAATTGTAGGCTTCTTTTCTTTGCTTTATGTCTAAAATCCACTTATGAGTGAGTACATGTTATATTTGTCCTTCTGGGTCTGGGTGTACTTCAATCAACCATCAATGGATCTGATGCTTTCTAGATCCATTCATTTGCCTGCAAATTTCAAGATGTCATTATTTTTTTCTGCTGTGTAGTATTCCATTATATAAATGTACCACATTTTCTTTGTCCATTCTTGATTGATAGACATTTAGATTGTTTCCAGTCTCTGGGTATGACAAATAATGCATTTATAAACATAGTTGAGCACATATCCTTGTGGTATAATCGAGCATCCTTTGGGTATATACCTAAAAGTGATATTGCTGGGTCTTGAGGTAGATTGTTTCCTAATTTTGAGAAATCATCATACTGATTTCCATTGAGGCTCTATCAGTTTGCACTCCTACCACCAATGGAGGAGTGTTCCATTTACCCCGCAATCTCTTCAGCATAAGCTGTCATCAATGTTTTTGGTCTTATCATTCTTATGGGTCATTACGCATTTATATGATGGAATCTCAGAGTTGTTTGGATTTGTGTTTCTCTGATAGCTAAGAATATTGAGCATTGCCTTACGTGCCTTTCAGCAATTTTAAACTCATTTTTTGAGAGTTCTCTGTTTACTTTAGAGAGGGTATTCTTGTGTAGCTTTATAGTCTATCTTTGAACTTGTTCTGTGGTCCAGAATGGCCTTGAACTCACAGAGATCTGCCTGCCTCTCTCTCTTGGGTGCTGGAATAAAAGGCAAGTATCCCACTACTCTGCTATCCCCCCATACCACACATAGCTGGGGTTTTGTTTGTTTGGTTGGTTGGTTGGTTTTTTGTATTTTTGTTTGTTTTTTTTTTTTTTTTGAGCAAATTGATTCAAAGTAGGGAGGTAAAATGCCCAAACATTGCCACTGGGTGGTGTGCCTATGAAGTTTTTCTTGAAATCAGTTGATATGTGCTCTTGCATTCATATCCCCTTTCCATCCTTCCTTCTCCATTTCCCTTCTCGCTGTCCTTTGTTCTCACTCTCCTTCTCTTTTGATCTGTTTATAAAAGAAATCAAGCAATTTATCCTGTTAAAGTTCCCCACATGATAGGGAAATTAGTCACTGATCATTGTGATAGTTTGGTAGGTTGCTTTTGAATTTCTTATACATTGAGGATAAGAGCAAAAGGCTTGATAACAGAAGACCAAGGTCATGTGAGTCCCTGAAGGTTAAAAGGCATGAATTCTCCCCATCCATCTTTCTCCCCTCCTTTGTTCCCCTTGGACATCTGGTCCTTCTACAAGGCTGCTACTTAAGTCAGTGTACAAGTAGATCTGCCCTTCAGGTACTTTTAAAATCTTGACCTTGTTGGCTCATACATTCTAATACCATTTTGTTTTGGAAATTTACAGGTAGAATGTCACCCGTATCTCAACCAGAGCAAACTTCTGGAGTTCTGCAAGTCCAAAGACATTGTTCTAGTTGCCCACAGTGCCCTGGGATCCCACAGAGACCCAAACTGGTAATGAGACCTTTGGACTTTATTTCCTTATGTCAATAATTCCATGTTGACAAACATTAACTTTTAACCTTGTGGAAAAGTTCAACTATGAAGAAACAATTTCAACAGTGCAGGAGTTCCTATGTACCTGGGTTGAACTTCATTCTCTCTAGTGGTTTTTTATTCTTGCTTTATCTGTCTACCTGTTTGTAGCACTAATAAGCATAGTTCTAAAAATAGATTTTAAGGCCCAGTTTACAGAGATTAGACCACGTATATCCTAGCCATGCCATTTTGAAACATAGGTGGAATGTAAAACCCACATTCATATCATTTCTAGAAACTTCCTTATTTATACAATATTTAATGTTTAATTTAGGAGGGGCTTAGAACCATCTTCTCTCATAATATCATCTATGTTATACAGAAACCCAAAAGAGAATTCTCAGAAGAAAACTGTCTTTCCAAGTGTTGATACTGAGTTGCAGGGTATCTAAGATGTTATAAGAGATTTTTCAAAGGATATATGCAGCTGAATTCATGAACTTATAGTTGTATGTGCATTGATATGTTAAATTCCATAGGCTTATGAAAATAGTACTGCTATTACATTTATCAGTGAATTCTGAGTTCTGTTTGTAAACTCAGAAACAATAGATTTGCATATTTTTTTTTCTTCTCTTTCTTGTTCTTTTTGGTTAACTTCACACTTGACACATGCCTAGACCTATCTGGTAGGAGAAGGAAATTATAACTAAAAAAAAATTGTCTCCATAAGATTGGCAAATTAGCAAGGCTGTGTGGTATTGTCTTTATTAATAATTGGATGTGTGAGTGGAGTCACCGTTGTGGTCAGGAGCTACATAAGAGAACAAGTTGAGCAAGGCAGTGGTCACCTTCCCCCATGGCCTCTGCTTCAGCTCCTGCTGTGAACTCCTTTGAGGGTGGACTGTGATGGGGAAGTATAAGATGAGATGAGCCCTCTCCTTTCCAGGCTGTGTTTGTCATGATGCTTTATCATTGCACTAGAAACCGTAACTAAGACAGAGCATGAGAAAGAAGACATTTTGATGACTGTCAACGACATTGTCTCTGGTCCTGAACTTTTAATAGAGTGTAACCTTATTTGTAAAACCTTGATTTTCTTAAGTGAAACAAAATAAAACAGACATTAATCAATAATAATAATAAATTGTTTTTGTATGCCTTTAAAGTTCTTATTACTTCTGAGACAGTTTCGCCACTTCTCAGACTATTAGATTTTGTACTGTTCATTTGCTCTAGAGAAGTTTTGCCTTTTTTATAGGAGTGCTGTATTTTTTGTTAAGGGTACTGGATTGAATTAGGATCATGCTGTATAGAGCAAACTGTCTTCAAACTCATGAACGGGGACCTCCTGTTTCAGTCTCCCAAGCACTAGGATTGCAGACTTACGCTCCGTGCCTGTCTGGAATTCACATGTCTATGCTTGTGTGGCCTGAGTCATCACAATTACCTGAGCTCATTAAAATTTTTAACAATTCTCCTGAATTCTTTCCTTCCTTCCTCTCCCTCCCTCTCCATCTCTCTGTCTTTTCTCTCTTTCTTGTCCTTCCTTTCTTTCTTTTCTTTTCCTTTCCATACTTTTAGTTATCAATTAATGGTAGCTTGAAATTATCAATGGGAATATTCTAGAAATATGCAATTCTTAATTTGAAATATCATATTATTCTAAGTAACTTGATGAAATCACATGCTGTCTGGGACAAGGATTTTCCTTTTTCAGTGTATCTTCAAATCTGCTCCATGTTTGCTAGTCACTTGTTCACTGTTTGGTTTATCAGGACAACCATCATAGCATGGCAGGGCTTGCGTTTAAGGAACTTTTAATTTACTTAATAAAGTCTCAAAAGCATAAGAATAGGAGTGCTTGAAACTTGGATAGGGCAAAAAGAGGCACTTAATTCATTTGAAAATGGGCAAGTTCTCAGCTTCATGAAATTTAAGATCCGTGTTAAGAGTGAATCTTCTATCCTGAAACTGTCAAGAAGAAAAGGGAAATTCATGCTAGCTTTGTGTACCAACGAATATAAGATCCACTTATTCATCAAACATAAGTTGGAAAAAGTATCATTTCATATGTATACATATTTATAGTACACATTGGGATCAGTGCTATTCCCAGACCCTTTGAGGATAAAAGGGGGTTTCTGTATTTCTGCTATATTTTACTATATGGATACCTATCGTACACAGTATTTATCTTCCCATCTACTGATGGATAACTTAGTTGTTTATAATTGCTACGATGAAAAATAAATTGCTGTGAATACTAAAAAAATTCTGCTTTAATTATACTATATTATACTTCTCAAAGGTCTGAGAATATAGGTAAGGGGGCAACATATTCCAGATTTGTTATCTATGTGAGTGTATGTCTGAATTTTTTTCAGGATAAGCAGTGATAGCCCATACCTCCTGGGGGAACCTATCTTAAAGACCATTGCCAAGAAACACAACAGAACTCCAGGCCAGGTTGCCCTGCGCTACCAGCTACAGAGGGGTGTGGTGGTTTTGGCCAAGAGCTTCAATGAGAAGAGAATCAAAGAGAACTTCGAGGTAAAGGCCCAGGGATATTTCTCCAGAATGAGACCTTGGGAGCAATGGGAACACTTGCTATTTATTTGCTCCCATGCATTGCTGCCCCCACCACCACTTGTGTGATACAGACAGCAGCTTAAAAAGGCAGCAGAAAAATGCCTTCAGTAAAAACCTGGTTTTTCTCCATACTTGTTTTGCCTTTTACAATTTCTTTAACAAGCTGTATTGTATCTCAATCTCTTTAGTTGGTTGTGGGAGTCTTTTCAGATGGCATAGAACTTTAAATAAATTCATTTCTATTTTTTGTATTCTATGCTTTTCAAATTCCTGTTTGTACTAAGGACTATAATTTGTATTAAGATTAAATCCAAATATGACTACTTGCTGGCTAATTTACTGCACAATTCCAATACATTTTTTTTTTTAACTTCCATAGTTCTGGCCATGGGTCTGTGTGTGTTTTCCCATTAACTTACAATTATTTAGTTATATACTGGCGTGCTTTCTGAGGTATGGGATGTTATATATGGCCATTTCCCCTTTAATCATTGGTGTTTCTCTATGAAGAAAAGGAGCTACATAAATTTATAGATTGACCATATGAAGAAATCAATGATTAAAAGTTATTCCTTTACTGCTTTCCTTTATGTGCACTAGCTAGTCTCTCCTATCAGTAAGTGGTTTTTCATTTGTTTGGTTTAGAATTCCATATGGTTAAAAATTTATCCTATATTTAATTTCTGTATGTATTTGTGTTTGAGGGCACACTCACCAGCACACAGCGTGTGGCCAGAGGATAACTTAAGGGAATTGTTTTTCTTCTTCTACCACTGCACCTCAGGGGTGGAACAAAGTGTCAACAAGCACTATCACCTGCAATATGGCAGCCATATTACTTAAAGAATGGATTTTTCAGAAGGACTTCTGGTGGATAGATAGATGGACAGCGTCTTGGTTTCTTTTCCTATTACTGTGATAAAATATCCCAGCAAAAGAAACACTAGGTAGAGAGGGTTTATTCTGAATCATACTTCAAGAATACAGTCTAATATTGCAGGGAAATTATAGTGGCAGGAGCCTGAAGGAGCTGGTCACATTGCATCCACAGTCAAATGTAGAGAAGGTTGAATGCACGCTCAGCACTTCTCTGCTGTGTGCAGTCCAAGATCCTCTGCTCACGGAATGATCCTACCCACAATCAGGATGGGTCTTCTCATATCAATTAGCATAACCAAGGTGATCCTACACAGGCATGCCCTATGACTCTTCTCACTGATGGTTCTAGATTCTGTCAAGGTGACTACTAACTTTAACCATCACAGATACTTTTAATAGATATAGATGATTAGATAAATATATTTAATTTTACATAATATAAATAAATATAAATTATGTATGTACGTATATATATGTATGTATATATATATAATATCAGAAAGGTTCTTTTGATAAAAAAGAATAATGTTTGATACTGTTTGAGAAAATGAGATGATCAAGTGCTATGGTTGAACAGTTGACTAGGGGAAGATTTTCTTCAACTCAATCAAGTCTTGGAAAGGAGTTAAATTATGATCTGTGCTCGGAGAGGGCGGGGAATGAGTGTCAATTCAAAGCTGGATCAAACTCCAGGATAGCAAAGGAAGAAAAGCTCAAAATTTTGTTGAGACTAAATCTATCATTTCATCTAAATTTGAAAATTAATTCGGGAATTCTTTTTCCTTGCCTTTCTTAAGATTAGGGGTTGCTGAGTCTTTCTTTTGTGAAATGGTTCAAAGTAGGAAAGAAATGGGAAAGGAGGAGCCTGCCATATTCAGCCAAAAGTTCTGAGACCCAGGCCATCTGGAGACCAATTGTGAATAAAATTCTCCTCTTAAAGCCACCCTTGGTGCTATCACCCTTATATTTCCAGGTAGAGGGATGTTTCAATGGCTTATTTATTTATTTATTTATTTATTTATTATTTTTAATTTTTTCTGAATCTGTCTTTCTTTCTAGGTGTTTGATTTTGAATTGACCCCAGAGGACATGAAAGTGATTGATGGCCTCAACAGAAATTTTCGATATATTAAATTGTCATTGTACGTAATGCCTCTAGATTGTTTATTTGCTTTTTGTAACATGGAGGTGAACCATGACGGTGTTCTAGAGGATCTAGGAAATGTTCAGTTTAGCTAAGCATTGCTTTTTGAATGAGTGAATTTATATATATAAATAGTATAATATAATAAGTAGTGACAGATAGAAAGGTTGCAAACATATTAAATTGTACACTCAAGATATCCAGAAGTTTACTGAGACAGAAACTTTAAAACAACCAGTCTGAGTTCTCAATAGAGAGGGTCTCAAGCAGAGGACAGGGTCTACTCAGGGGAGACGTCTAGGTAAAAGGGCACACGACAGGAGAAAGGTTGTGTTAATAAGCTGAAAGCTAAAAACATCCAGCAAAATCCAACTGGAGATGTTGAGGTACTTCCTAATAGACAGTTTTGAGCAGAGAAGAGTGAGCCCTGAGGGTGAGGATTCCAAGTAGAACAAACCCCAGAAGAGAGAGATAACATTATCCAAATGGGTGCTTATAACATCCAGCAGAGACCTGGGAATACGACGATCTACCTATGACTGGTGGTGAGGAATTGAGGTTAAATTCAAGATTCAACAGAACCAGGGACTCTAGGATCTGCTGCTCAAAAATGCCTTTACTGGCATTCTGTGAAGTTTTCTTTATTATGGAAAGCTCAGAGTTCAAAGGAGGGAGAGAGGAATGATGGAAAACATTCAGAATACTTCTTATCAATAGAAGTGCTCAGGAGACAGGAGATCTCTTGACTGGAGGGGGTTCTTTGAATAATGTCTGTGAGCACACAAAGCTGCACAGCTAATAAGGGGAGGGGACACACCTTACCCTTGACATTCCTTGGCAGGTGGGAGGCATTCCCCTCTTGGGAGTAAACAAAGTGCTATGGGAACAGAGGTCACACAGCAGGCCAGTATATTATTATATGCAGGTCACAGGGGAAGATGAGACAGTTCCCACGGCTGAACTTCCAGGTTCTTTTCCCATGGCAGGCAATTTACACTATGGAAACCTCTCGATGTTCTCAAAAGCATGATGTTTTCATTCTTGGACTGTTTTACTGTTTTCTTCATTCCCTGTCAGAGTTTTTTCAGAGGTGGGGGGATCCCAACCCTAGACAAGGGGCCTTGGAGGATACATAGAGACAAAAATACTTTGGGTTTTAAATGCAGGAAGTGGCAACTCTGTTTCCAGAGCCAGCTTTTCAATGAGCTGAAACAACACATGAGAGTATTTTAATACAGTGTCATTACGGAAGACACAACTGATTTTCAGAATAAGTTTGCAACAAAGAAAGGCATCCTTATGGACCTCAGAATAGAGAAATTCCTTCTGAAGTTCATGATATGTAGTGAGACTCAGGACAACCCCATTTCAAAACTGGCCAATCTGGGGCTATAGATTGGTTGGTTCTGTACTTCCCAAGCCTAAAAACAGGAATGATGGCCTAAACCATTATTCTTAGCCCCTAGGAGATAGAAACAGGAGGATGAGAAGTTTAAGGTCATCCTTGATACACAGTGAATTCATCTGAAACACAGAATACATGTGACCTTGTCCCCTCAATGGTCAAAGTTGCATCACTGTGAACTGATGTTAAAGAATACGGTTTGACATTCAGCCAAAACAAACGTCTTCAGGGTTCACCTGCCCGTTAGACTCAGAGAACAGATTACCTATGGTTCATGATATAGTAAGAGGCCTATGAAAATACTTTCTAATTAATATTTATTGTAATCCAAAGAAATAAAAGAGAATTCAATAATAATGAATGTACAGCTATGTATCAAGACTATTTTAACTGGTTTACACTAAAACCTATTCTAACTTTGTTCATACTAAAGCAGTATAATGTGTACTTTTAATAATCTTTGTGGAAGATGAACTCTCAAAGGTGATATGAATAAGTCCTAGGGAAAACATCAATCTCTTTCAGCTTCCTCCTCTCGGTGTCCAATGACATTTGCCCTGGGACAGTCCTTTTCCAAGCTACATCAAAGGTGTCCTTTGACCTCCACAAGCATGTCTTGGCACACAGACAATCATAATAAAATTCTAAGAAGAAAATAATGAAATCAGTTGATCCACAGCCTTAATTGCTGATGTATTCCATTGCATTTAGCAAGACAGAGTCCACTGAAGATTTTGTGGGTTCTCAAATCAAACTATCCTCATTTTGTCTATCAGAAGTGTGACTCATGAACAACCAGTGTTCCTTCTTCTCTTTCAGTGGAGTGGATCACCCTTACTATCCATTTTTAGAAGAATACTGAGCACAAGCTGTTAAACATTACAGAAACTTTCCTCTCTCCAGACAATGTGTATCTGTGTTGGATGGAGTGGTTGAGAAGCAGGATTCTTGCCTCCATGTGTTTGTCAAATGTTACAAAAATCTCAAATGTTTTTCCTGATGATTAAAAAATAACACACAAATTACAGAGAGTTTCTAAAATAAAAAGAATTATTTGATGTAGCTTTCTTGATTTTTTGTAATTTCATTGTTATTTACAAAATTAAAATAAATTTAAACACATGAATCATATATTTTTAAAGTGTATTGTTTTCAAATTATCAAATTTTACTCAAGAATTTTGAGCACTTTTCTGGTTGTACAGAATAGGTTTCATTAACTTATTTCTTAGTTCTCAAAACAGGTTTGGCAGTGGAATGCATTACATTCTTTTATTTCCTAGCAGAATTTGTTGAATATCTTTTTTTTTCTCCAGGCACTTTTTATATTATATTTAATTAGGAAAATTTAGACTATGTTTATATCTAAATATTTTTAAGTGGGGAGTTTTGTTTAGATAAATGGAGTAGGGGAAGAGAAAGGAAAGAGAGAGAGAGAAGGAGAGAGAAAAAGAGAGAGAGATGTAGAGAGAGAAAGAATATTTTGAGTATAAAAGTCTACTGGAAAAAGTAGGCTACTAACATAATAAAACCTGAAGTATTCAATGAGAAATGGGGAGGAGGTCGACTGGAGAAGACTCAGCGGGTAAGAAAGTGTACTGTTTATGCAATGTGCTTCCTAGCACACATGTTGGCACTGTACAATTGCATGTAACTCTGCCTCCAGGATATCTAAGTCCATCGTTTGGCCTCTTTAGGCACATGTATTTATGTGCACTTATCTGCCCCCCAAAGACATACACATGATTAAAAAGCAAAAATAAGACTTAAAAAAGAAATCAATAAGCATCTTTTGGAAATTAATTCTTCTTGATCTCTTACATTTTTTTCTTTTAGATTTTATTTTGTGATGTTTTATTTATTTTTGTTTTTGTTTGTTGTTTTCTTTGTTGTTTTCTATTTACTTATTTTGTTCTTTATATTTATTTTTTCTTAAAATCTGTTCTTTGAGAATTTTGTATGCATTTTGTTCATACTTGCTGTGGGACTATGGTCTTATACCCTGTAAAGTTTTGTAAGTTGTACTGGTTTAATAAAATGATGATTGGCCAATAGCCAGGCAGAAACTGCAGAATCCTTAGAAAAGGAAAGGCTGAGTCTGCAGTCGTAACCCAAATGCAGAGGAAGCAACATGAGAATGCCTTGCTGATCAAAGGTGCCAAGCCACGTGGCTGACACAGACAAGAATTATGGGTTAATGTAGGCTGTAAGAGTTAGTAACAGACCTGAGCTAAGAGGCCAACCAGTTTATGATTAACGCAGACCTCTGTGTATTTCTTTAGGACTGAATGGCAGCAGGACCTGATCGGACAGAAATCTCAGGCAATGCATACTTATCCTCAACTCTTCCCAGATCCTTTCCCCTTTGCTACTCATCCAACTTTGTGTCCAAAAAAAAAAAAAAACAACAAAAAACAACATACCAACCAACCAACCAACTGACCACCCAAGCAAACAAACAAACAACAACTAACTAACCAACCAAACAAACAAACAAACAACAAAATTTAAGCCTCTAAAGATTAGTTTGTCCTGCCAAAATAATTTTGGATGTGTGTTTTTTCACTGGAATTTGGTCAGCATACAAAGGGCTACACACTTAGAAGAAACTGTCAAATGCACTCCTAGCACTAATAATTAACATGTGTTCTATGCCTTAAGGTAGGAACATATGAGTATCTACCTGCTAAGATTTCTTACATTGTTTTCACATGTGACAAGTGGAGGGACAGACTGTGCTTCATTCTACATTTATTGAACAAGTTTGCAAATTGAACAGTCTTGAGGTGTAGAGACAGCCTCTCCCTGCAAGGAAATGTGAATCATGTCTAATAAAGTAAACAGCCAATCTCCTTGTCAAAGAGGCAGCCATGCTTACTGTTCATTAATAATATGGTTTCCCATTACTCAAAGTTTTTCTCTTTTTACTCAACCTACTGAATGTTCGTGTGCCGTTGAATTGTTTTGCTTCGTGTTCTTAAAACTAGAAATGCAGGAACTGATGGAAAAGTGACCTTACTTTAGTCACAGATATTGTCGTGAGTAATGAATTGTCACTTATCCCTAATCCAGAAGTTTCAAGGTTTCTACCACCATTTATAAAACATATCTAACTAGTTGATTAGTTTGTAAGTAAGATTATAATCTCGACCTTCCATAGTCTTAACAATTATTTGAAGTAAATTTAGGAGTAGGAAGAATTGATAGTGGTAACAGAGTGGGAATGTTAGATGCTAAATTTTTCTTTTCTTCCTTCTTTCCTTCCTTCCTTCCTTTCTTTTTTCTCTCCCACACTCCTCCTTTCCTTCCTTCCTTTCTTCTTTACTTCTTGTTTTGAAGCAGGGCCTCTCTACAAAGCCTTGATTGTTCTAGAACTCACTTTGTAGACCAGGCTGGCCTCAAATTCACAGAGTTCTGTCTACTTCTACTTCCTGAATACTGAATTAAAGGTATGAGCAACTATGCTCTATTTTCTTTCTTTTAACACAATATTTTATTAATTATTTAGGAGTGTCACAATGATTATTATGTTGTGATCATATTTGACTCTTCCACTTCCCCTAACTTTACCTAGATCCACAGAACACCTACCAACAACATGTATTCTTTTTAGTCTTAATTTCAAAAGGAGTTCAGTTTTGTGCTGCTCATCTATTCAGCACGACTCACTTTCCAGGAGCCACAGAATTAATGAAAACTGACTCTCCCTCTCTAACCAGCCACCAGCTATCAATAGCTCCTCAGCTAAGGGTGGGTATGGCTTTCAATACCTTGAAAAACAATGATGCTATTGAAGCATGACCAGTAGCAGTGATTATATTCTCCTGACACTAGTGAATCCTTAAGCTTTTGTCTCATGTATCAAGTTGGAAACCACCTTTGTGATATATTTTAAAGGCTGCTGTAATCCTGTCTTATGTTACCCACTATTTGGATCACTCCTTTCATTATCACAGCTTTGATTCATACTCAGGATATTGTGTCAGTAACTTTCATTGCTCATACAGACAACCCATGCATCAATGTCTTCTTCTTATTGAACTTCATCTCTTATTCAGACAAGTTAATATTTTTTAATCAAATTCTTGCCCAGTTTCTTGTCTTATTGCCCAGAGAAAGGACTGCACAACTGACATCATAGCTTGTTTACAATTCCATCCTATATTTGTTACTTTCAAGGGTTGTGGTATATTATCTAGCCTCTCAGAGGCTTGGGAGGAACCTCTGTAATCATGTAGCACTGCCCATTCCTCAAGAAGACATTCCAGTCGACACTACATAGTAAAAGATGGCCATGTTTTAATTTCCCCCAACAGACATGTAATCTTTAGACGAAGCAATATTAGTTGTGTTTGTCTTCTCATCTGTTTCAAGGATAATGCAATTGCTAGTGTAGCAAGCAATCCTGCCATTCCACACCACTAAGGGAAGAGGTGGCTGTACCAGTATCACCTCTGAGGATGCTCCACTCAGTTGCGTGTGTCATCATCATCACATGGGTAAAACATGGCAAACTCAGTAATCTGTTTTTGTAAACTGCTGTATTCTTTCATTAATTTGTTTTCTCTTCTCTGAGTTGAATAGAAAATGAAGCCTCAAAGAGAAGGTTGGTTACTTAGAAGGTACTTACAAAAAATGGAAGAGATAATTTTCCTAACTGCTGTGCAAATTTCATCATAGCATATAGAATTTATGTAAAAATACAAGCAACAGAAAAGGAAACAATTGTCAAATTAAAGGAATGACCTACGGAATGCAAGTGGACCTTTAGCAGCTATTCATCTTCCAAAGTATGAGCATCCAGAACATTTAAAGAACTGAACAATCCAAATAATAAACCATTCAACCATAAATGAAAAAGTAAAGAGCTCTAGAATGACCAATGAGAGTATAAAAAATAATCAAGGAAATGCAAATCAAAGCTAGAAATTCTGTCACCAATCAGATGGCTGAATCCAGAAAATAAAGACCAATGAATGCTCTTGAGGAAGGGGAATTGTGGGGTTTTTCTATAATGCTGGTAAGAATGTCAGTTACTTCATCCAGTATGGAAATCAGTATTCAGAAAACTAAAACATAAACTTCATTTTGGTCTAGATATGCTGCTCCTGAATTATATGCAAATAATCAAGGTGAGTATAATAGCAATATCTACATACCCGTGTTTTTAAAGGTACTTTGCAGTGACCAATATATAGAATCAGTCTAGGTGCCAATCAGAGGACAAAGACAAAGAAAATGTGACTTACATATAAAGTGGACTTTTATTAAGATATAAGGAGGAAAATAGCATCTTATTTGGACCAAAGTGGATGAAGCTAGGAGAAAGTGATCTGGATAAACATAAAAATTATAACTTAAGAGGCAAATAGCTCATGTGTTCCCCATACAAGGTATCTAGATTTTCAGAAAGACATAGAGTAGAAGGGGGGCTGTTTAGGGAGTTAGAGAGATAACAAAAGACATTGTGGACAAGGCAGTATGATCAAGATACCATGTGTCTCTGTGGCAAAATCACAATGAGAATCTTACTGTTTACAAAGTAAAGAAGAAGAGATACCCTTTTCAAGAGAAACTGAGCTCCCATCAGCAGTTGTAGGTAACATATGATTGACCCGTTACTATCCAGCAGTTTCCTTTTTTTAATTTAAAGAAGTAAATGTGGATTATGAACAGAACAAGAAGTTCATGCTTTCATTTTCACTCTCCAGTAATTTATTAGAGTTCACATTCATACAAATGCAAGTAGTCTTTAGCTCTCTTTTCTGTGGACTATTGTTTTAACAGTGCTCCCACATGCCACTGTTTAACATTCCACTAGCTATTTAAGGAGCTTTCACATTTGGCTGGACTGCACCCTGTGCAAGCAGAAGCCTCAATGTTGGTACCCAGGCCTTTTCCCCTTTCTTCGAGGTGCTATGCAGGGCTGTATCTCCTATCAGCCTAGGCTTCCTGCCTTCTCTGCTGGCTGCACCGGCTTGGGGGGGATAGCTTAGAGAGAGCTAAGTCCTCTTTTGATATGGTAATTCCACCTGCAAGCAAAGGTTCCTACCTGAACCTTTGCCTGAAGCAT